CAATTTTGGGCTTTTTAATTCTAAAACTAAATCTGAAATTTATAAATAAAATACTTATTATTAAACATCATAGAATCACCACAAAACCCAAAAACAATAGTTTAATTTAGGTAGATTTAATTAAAAAAAAACATAAATCCTTCATTAAAATCAAAAACTGCCCGATAACCATATTTAGAGGCTGAATTTGGCCACGAGAAGGTGGTGTTCACTACCATAGGTAATGAGTTTTGTTTAGAATGTCGTTTACACACGAAAAATACTATTTTTTGCGAAAATCGAACGAGTTAGAATCTAAACGTGATTAAGAAAATTAAGAACTGAGAATAGGCAACATGCAACCACCTGGGCCGCCGTTGCCACGCTGCCTGGTGGCTGCTGCCGCCGACAAAGGTTGGTGGTGGTGGCCAGCGTGTGTGGTGGTGGTGTGTCAATAAATAATTAAATTAATTAATCAAAGGGAAAGGGGAAAAATTAAGGAAAAAATAAAATAAGAGGAGAGAGAGAATTTACCTTTGGGTGCACTCCACCCTAAGCATATGATGGGTATTTATACCCTCTCTCATAACTTTCTACTTACCTCCCTTAAAATCTCTTTCCTGCTCAAACTAGACTTTTGACTTTTTAAATAAATTATCTTTTATAAAATAATATGCCCCAATATTTTTAAATCATGAAATAAAATATTTTCTAGATTATTAAATAATAAAATATACTTTTAATTAAAATCATTCTTTACGGATTAATAAAAACCCTAAATAATTCATTTCGAATTATTTAAATACTTCAAGAAATACTTATTTAAATTTAAAATACGTATAAAAATACGGGGTATTACAGTCTACCCCCCTTAAAAGAAGTTTCGTCCCAAAACTTGGGCAACGAAATTCAAACTTTTTCCTCACTTTGTATAATATTGCTGTACTCTTTTGTCATACTTTTCCTTAATCGTTTCTTATAAAATCAAAATTTCTTGAATTAATCCTTAGAAATGTGCAAGAAACACCAAAATAACTGTAAATATAGGTAAAAAGCACGAAATTCTACCGCGTTCTACCCACCTAAAGAGCACGAGTTACGCCCTCGTGACTCAACATACCTCAATCAACTCGGGATATTTCTTTTTCATTTCATCCTCGGCTTCCCATGTCGCTTCTTCATGCTCATGGTTAGACCATAGTACCTTAACAATCTTAACCTCTTTGTTACGTGTGCTACGCACTTTGCTGTCAAGGATTTTGACAGGTCTTTCCTCATAAGTTAAGTTTTGATCTATCTCAATGGTTTCGGGTTGTAACACATGTGACTTATCCGGGATATACCTTCTTAACTGAGATACATGAAATACATCATGCACTTTACTTAGTTCCATAGGTAAGGCCAATCTATAAGCTACTTTGCCCATCCTTTGCAATACCTCATATGGTCCAATATACTTTGGGCTAAGTTTTCCTTTCTTTCCAAATCTCATTACACCTTTCATTGGTGACACTTTTAACAATACTTTGTCACCGACCTCAAATTCCTCCTCTCTACGCTTCAAATCCGCATAGCTCTTTTGGCGATCTTGAGCCGCTTGAATCTTAGCTTGAATCTCCCTCACTTTCTTAACTGTATCATCGATCATTTGAGGCCCTAGAATCATTGTTTCACTTATGTCATTCCAACAAATTGGACTGCGACACTTCCTTCCATATAATGCCTCAAATGGGGCCATGCCAATACTCGCATGGTAGCTATTATTATAGGAAAATTCGATTAAGTCCAAGCTATCTTCCCATCCCCCTTGGAAATCTATTACGCAAGCTCTCAACATATCTTCCAAGGTTTGAATGGTCCTTTCAGTCTGTCCATCTGTGGCAGGGTGAAAGGCTGTACTCATCTTAAGTGTTGTACCAATGTTTTCTTACACACTTTTCCAGAACCTTGAAAGAAACCTAGAATCTCTATCAGACACTATATCCTTTGGAACCCTATGTAATCTCACCACATTTTTTATGTATGCTTTTGCAAGTTGTTCCATCTTCCAGGTCTCCTTCATTGGTATAAAAACTGCAAATTTTGTGAGTCTATCTACCACTACCCAAATGGTGTCATTTCCGCTCTTTGACTTTGGAAGGCAAGTCACAAAGTCCATTGAAATACAATCCCATTTCCAACCACAAATTTCTAAAGGTTGCACTGTTCCTTGCGGTCTTTTGTGTTCTATTTTCACCTTTTGACAAGTTAAACACTTTGACACAAATTTCGCAATTTCATTCTTCATTCTGGGCCACCAATACACCTTTTTCAAGTCCTTATACAACTTGTCCCCTCCTGGGTGTACTGAGTATGGTGTATTGTGACCTTCTTCCATTAATTTTCTCTTTACCTCCTCACATTTTTGTGGTACCATACACACCAACGACCTTTGTACCTTAAACTACCATCGTCATGAATCTTAATATCCGTGGCTTTTCCTTGACTTATTTTCTCAAGAATCCTATCCAACTTCACATCTCCCTTTTGATTTTCCTTTATCTCATCAAATATTGTTGGTTGAATACTTAGATTTGCTAGTATGCCTGCTGGCACTCCCCATTCTACCACCTCTAGGTTCATTTTTCTCATTTCCCTATATAACTCATCCGCTACTATCAAGGTATTCAGTCCATGACTGGATTTACGACTCAGAGCATCCGCGAATACATTCGCTTTCCCCTCATGATATTGTATGTCTAAGTCATAGTCTATGGTGTACTCTAACCATCTCCTTTGGCTTGAGTTTACATCCCTTTGAGTGAAAATGTATTTCAAACTCTTGTGGTCTGTGTAGATCCTACATTTCACCCCATATAAATAGTGTCTCCAGATTTTTAGCGCAAAAATAATTGCAGCTAATTCTAAGTCATGGGTTGGATAATTCACTTCATGAGTTTTTAACTTCCTTGATGCATAAGCAATCACTTTCCCATTTTGCATAAGTACACATCCTAGACCATTTTTGGATGCGTCGCTGTACACATCATATATACCACTATCGTCTAACAGTGTAAGCACTGGCGCTGTAATTAGCTTTTGTTTCAAGGTTTGGAATGCCTCTTCACATTTGTCATCCCATTCAAACTTTTTGTCCTTTTTCATTAATGTGGTCATAGGTTTAGCAATCTTCGAAAAATCTTTCACAAAACGCCTATAATACCCTGCTAAACCTAGGAACTCCTAACAACAGATACTGTTTTTGGTGTAGGCCAACTCTTTACTGCCTCAATATTCGCTGGATCTACTTAAGCTCCTTCTTTAGACACGAAATGTCCTAAAACTGCCACCTTCTCTAGCCAAAATTCGCACTTAGAGAATTTGGCATAAAGCTTAAATTCCCTTAATGTTTGCAAAACTGTCCTCAAATGTTCTACATGTTCCTCTTTACTTTTTGAATACACCAGTATATCATCTATAAACACTACCACAAACTTGTCCATAAATGGATGAAATACCCTATTCATCAAGTCCATAAAAATTGTTGGAGCATTCGTCAGCCCAAAAGGCATTACTGTGAACTCATAATGACCATATCTTGTACTAAACGCAGTTTTGGGAATATCTTCATCCGCGATTCTAAGCTGATGGTATCCAAACCTAAGATCAATCTTAGAAAATACTGTAGCGCCTCTCAACTGGTCAAATAGGTCATCAATCATTGGTAAAGGGTACTTGTTCTTTATGGTGACCTTATTCAGTTCCCTATAATCGATACATAATCTCATACTTCCATCTTTCTTCTTCACAAACAACACTGGTCCACCCCAAGGCAATGCACTAGGTCTTATATACCCTTTTTCTAACAAATCTTGCAATTGTTCCTTCAACTCACTCATCTCCGTAGGAGCCATGCGGTAAGGTGCTTTGGAAATTGGTGTTGTTCCTGGAATTAGCTCTATTGTGAAATCAATTGCCCTCTTGGGTGGCATTCCAGGAATCTCTTCTGGAAAAACGTCTAGAAATTCATCTACTACCTCTATATCCTTAGGTGTAGCTATCTCTTCATGCACCATATTCTGCACACTACAAAAATATATTGGATGCTCCTTCTTAATGTATTTTGCCAATTTTAGCACTAATATGATCCTTGCGTACTTGGTTTCACCATGCATCCAATAAGTTACCAATTTGTTATTGGTCGTACGCATTTTTACTTTCTGCGATCGACAACTAATCTCTGCACTGTACTTGCTCAACCAATCCATTCCCAAAATGACATCAAAGTCGCTCAATCCAAACTCAATAAAATTCGACAGGAACACTTTTCCTTCGATTTCTAAAGGTATATCTCTAAAGGTCTTGTCACACCTTACTACCCCGCCCGTAGGAATAACTATAGGCAAATCTACCTCATCTACGATTTTCAAACAGTGTGATAATTTGGAAACAATATCCTTTGAAATGAAAGAAAAAGTTGCACCAGAATCAAACAAGACTTTAACAGGAATAGAGTTGATAGAAAAAGTACCAGTGATAACATCTTTCGTGGAATCAGCTTCGTGCCTACTCATAACATTCAACTTTCCTGTTGCTCCACCTTTTTGTTGGTTGCTTCCATTATTGTTATTGGTTTTCGCTGCATTCTATGGTGCCCCATTGTTCCTAGAATAGTTATTACTTCCCTGAAAATTTCTTTGAGTCCTGCCTCGATTACTTCCCTACTTGTTTCTATTGGGGTCCTTGGAGAAACAATCATACTCCCTGTGTCCTAGTTTGTTGCAAGCACGAAAGGCAACCAAATTCCCCTCACAATCTTTTCCAGGGTGGTTATTCTTGCACCTTCTGCAAAAATAGCGCCTTCCATCCTTATTATATCCCTGGTTAGAGTTTTTAGCTCCACCATTAAAGTTCCGCCCACCTTGGCTATTGTTCCCTTGGAAATTATTGTTGTGGGAGTGGTTATTACCAAAGTTATTGTTGTTATGGTGATACCTTTGCTTCTTAAAGTTGTTCTGGTTACCTTGTGGGTTTCCCGGGTGTTAGTTCACTTCCTTTCTCTTTTCTTTCCCTTCCATCTCAGCTAGTTCTTTTCTTTTCTTAAGCTCTAACGCATAAATATGCGCAGCTCTACCATACACCTCATCTAAAGTCTCAAAAACTTGCCCACACAGTTTTAACTGCAAGTCAGTAGTCAGGCCACTCTCAAATTTCCTAGCCTTGGATTTTTCTGTAGAAACAGATTCCATAGAAAATCTCGTCAGTTCAATAAACTTGGTGTAATATTCAGTGACTGTCATTTTCCCCATCACAAGGTTGGCAAACTCCTCAGCTTTCTGTTTCTGTAAGAAACTAGGGTAAAACTTGTCCCTAATCTTCTCTTGAAACACACTCCAGTTAAATCCAGGTAATGCCCTAGTGGTAGCTTCAGTTTGTTGCCACCAAAGGTCTGCTTCACCCCTAAGGTAGTAGGTAGCACAACCCACCTTTGAGTTTTCTGGGCACCCTACTGCCCCGAACAGTTTCTCAAATTCCCTTAACCAGTTTTCCAATGCAGTTGGGTCAGGTTCTCCTTAATAGGTTGGGGGCTTACTCTGCGCCACCTTCTTAAATAGTTCACCCTGAGTATCTCCATTATTAGTTGAATTCCTTGCTAGTTGTTGGGCAATAACTGCCAATTATCTCGCTATTTCACCTAGGTCTCCTCCGTTATTGTTGTTTCCACTCCCCGCCATATTCCTTCGCCTGAGTTTAAACAAAAGGGTCTTTTTTAAACATGGTTTTGGCTAGCCCTCAAGTTAGACACTCACTTAACTAATTAACACTCTTGAGGCACACACATTGGACTTTTAAGCTAAAAATTTGGAATTTAAAACTCCCAAAATTTGTAGCTTTTAACCAAATATTGATTGCTAACCAACCACACACTTAATAAAGCATTACATTAATAAAAAAAAAAAAAAATTTACATAGATTTCCCCGAGCTTAGAAGTGCATTATTGGAATAATTGGAGTGAGAAATGGCTTTTTGGAGTAGTGATACGAAATGAATGATTCGAGAACAAAATGAATGAATTGTCAATAAAATAAATTAATTGACAAAGAATTAAGGGAGATTTTATTGATAGGTAAGAAAATAAACGGAATACTGAAAATAAATGAGTTTGAATAATAACTTATGCAACTACATAAGTTTATTGACTCGCTGTGAACATGCCACTTATTACTTTACTGAAACCGAAATAACTAAAGTGCGGAAATGAATCTAGGAATCCTAAAAGAAACGAAACTACATAAATCTAATGCTTTCGAACATTGTCTCTCTTGTCGGTAGATTGTTTGTAGCTTCCAGGATCGAATTTAGGGTCATCTTCCTCTTCCATTGGTTCAGGCGATGATGTGTTCATTTTATATAGTATTTTATCCCCGTCCCTTGATCATAGTTAGGAGTATTTTTGGCTCTTTAAAGCCACTTTTATTACTAATATGCGTTTTCTAGTGTTTCCGTAGTTGTGGTATTATTTTACAGGAAATTGTAGATTTGGAGCATTTCCCCGTACTTAGTGAGCCACCACGAGCATTGGAGCGGAAACGCATTGATATGATCGTATTCCGAAGCCCAAGACCGTGTTAGAGAAGTTAACCCGGTGATTAAGGACTCGGTGATGAATAGAGGAGCTCGGGCATTGGACCGCAATTCAAGACCCAAGAGGAAGAAATTTGGGCCAAGAATTCAAGCCCAAAGTAAAAGAATAAGGCTTGCCCGAGCACTCGCCCGACCGGGCAAGGGCTTAGCCCCAAGGCGCGCCCGGCCGGGCGAGGGAGATAGGCTAGGGCGAGACTTCGCCCGGATGCGCGTCCGACCGGGCGCAAGCAAGCATCATTGAAGAAAAAGGCGCGCCCGGCTGGGCGGTGCCTCGCGCGACCGGGCGCGCGATATTCTAGATATTTTTTATTTTCTTTTATCTTTATTTTATTTTAGGATTATTTATTAGTATAAATACGTTTTTAGCTTAATTTTGACGATTACGCATTCATTATCTACAATTCCGTTTTCTTAATTCAAGATTGAGTTTTTGAGTATTTTCTTGTTATCATTATTCTCTCTACTTTCCTTCATTAATACTAATCATATATTCCGTTTGATCTTGGTACGATTTCTTCCCTTGCTTTATTTTCAGCAATTTAATTCCTTTAAGTTAATTATGTCTTGCTTAAATATTTTGTTTAGTTTAGATTTAATTATGTGTGAGTAGATTTATTTCTAGGGTTGTGGGGATCCATGAATAATAAGAAGGGGTAATTTATTTTTGTTAATTATTAATGATTAATTAATTTCATATTGATTGATTTAATACTATGCAATTAGATTAGGCCTGGTTTAATTGTATGAGTTTTTCAATATTGATTCGAGATTCGAGAGATGAGAATTGATGTTTAGGCTTAGTTTCAATAGGCATGTTAATCTATAAATGGTTAGGTCAAGATTCGAGAGATGCGATTTAATACCGGTAGATTAATTCTGTGATTATAATACGTAGCGAAAGCCCTTTATAATCTGGTTAATTTATACATTGATGATTGATTGTTATTTTTACCCTGGAGTATTATATATTGGTGAACCTATACCCTAGACCTTTTATTATTTATTATTCCCTTATTTAATTTGCTTAGTTTAATTGTTAGTTTAATTCTTACAATACAAATTGGTTACTTGATAATTTAGATTATAATAATTTATTAGGAGTAAAAGAACATTGTTTCCCTGTGGATTCGACCCTACTTCCCTATCTACTTTAGTTAGAGGACTTAGGAATTACTTTTGATTAGGTGATACGACTTTAGCCTGTCAGGCGACTCTGATTCTTGACTTACTAGCACAAAATCTTCGTCCTCCTCATCATCAGATGAAATATCAATTATGACTGGAGTTGGAGGTGGATTTGGATTTGGAATTTCCATGATGAAACTATCAATAGTGTTATTACTCTGAGTAGGAGAAGAACTCCCTGACTGATGATTGGAGGAAGGGGGATTAATTCCTGCCGGAATATTATAGTAATAGGTGGGGTATGGAATATTTGAGCATTGACAATGATCCTTTTCAACCTTAACAAGATAAGAGGTTAAGTATCTATAATCAGGGTACCACTGTCCATGAATTTTTTTATATTTGGAGTAATTTGGAATGTCCCCTGGTAAGTAGAAATCAGAGAACTTTGATTTGACAGCTAGATATGGAGGTTCGTCGGGAAGGCAATGAATTATCATGGCGGAAATGCGATCAGGAAGGTCATAAAGCTTGTTTCCAAACACATTGCTCATTCGGGCACAATAAAACTGAATTTTGTTGACATAGTCACACGGATGCTCGTGGTCTTTTTTTATGAGAGTACCAATTTGGGTGAATTTGCTAGGAAGGATTGGCATCCTGTAAGGAAAAGGTTTAGAAAAGAATTCCCTTCCCAAAAAAAATAAAAACAATACAGTTCTAGCATGAATTAGGTTCAATGTTCAATCAAACAATTTCACTTATTCTAATCATATAATCTAATGCTTTCAATTTATCAATCCACACAACTTACCTTGTTGCACCTGTTTACAAGCATACAAACATTCAACTCTTAACTAGACCAATAAATAGTCCAATTATTTAGCTTGATTACACATCGAACGAGTTTCCCCCTAACCTGGCTCTGATACCATTTTGTAACACCATAGAATTTCCTTTCCTTTAAAGTACCTGTTTTGCCCTTTTTAAAATACAAAAAAGGAAAATCTAAGACATTACCGCCACCGTGAAAACGGCTAAGGCAAATATCAAAGACACACAGCGGAAGACTATCTTTAAAACTATTTAAAAAATCAAGTCAACTTTAAAAGTTAAACCAACGAAAGTAAAAGTCAAGCAAAGTCAAACGAAGTCAACCTACAACTTGGAACCATTGTAGGCCCTTAAAGTCCAAATATTCAAAAACCTTTGCGTGAGTCTCATGATAAATAATAATTTAAAGCAAAAAACACATCATACTCCTATGAGAACTAAGCATGATTCACTCTTCACTCATGCCCCATCGTGATTATGCTTTATCACCTGAAAAACTTCTCTCTACTTGTCTCCACTACTCGCCATTAGAAATGGGTTGTCGTAGGGCCAAGGTAAAGACAAGGCCAAACAAACATGCAAACACACACAATCAACAAAGCTGAGTACATAAGCGTAATAAGAACAAACTAACATGCTTTCATCCTATCAACACACAACTTACCTTGTTGCACCTGTTTACAAGCATACAAACATTCAACACTTAACTAGACCAATAACTAGTCCAATTATTTAGCTTGATTACGCATCGAACGGGTTTCCCCCTAACCTGCCCCAATAAAGGGGTACTAACACGAGAGCTAACCGTGAAAGTATAAAATAAACCACTCGTAAGTGGCGGAATTCCTGCGCATAATAAAAAAGGAAAATACAGCGTCCTGTACTCCAGTAGAAGTTATGGTTAAATATAAAACCCCATAACTCCCCCCATATCTTCATACTCAAGGTATATACGTTCCAAGAGTTTTGGTGCGTAATCTATTTCACTTTACGTTGTTTACAAATTATTAGACTTGGTGATGACTCTCAAACATAACACAAACCAAACACTATAATTTATTCAAGCAATCAAACATAGCGATTTAATTCTTGAATAATTAGTGACCACATAAAGTTAATGTTGAACCCTTTTTAAACTACCTCAGTGTCAAAGACACCTTAAACGCATAGTGCGCCACAAATCCTATCCCTCGGTGTTAGAAACACCTTAAGTGCACATGGGCACCAAAATATAATTTAACCCTCGTGTGCAAAGACACTTAAATAGCTCTTTCCTCATGCTTATAGCATCAATAAAATTTATGTGAACCATAATAAAATTCTCTTTTCATCTTCCAAACCAAATTAAACATCTAGTTTAATTAAACATGCTCTCTAACATGCCAATAATAAAAGTATGGTTCACAATCAACATGCCAATATAATTAATTCCAATCACCAAATCACCATAACTAATTCATACATCACAAATCATTCACCAACATCAATCCAATCAACAAATTTCATCCAACACCTATCATGATACTACTTGGAATTAATTTAACAAAGCCTAACATGCTTCTATACGCTTAAACATTACCAAGTACGCGAACGTACCTTGAATATGATCTCAAAATCGCCACGATTAAATAAAATCACTCACTTGGAAATCTCCTACAAACCAAAATTATAAAGGAGTATTAATACATATCTAACACAAAAATTCCAGCAATATATACTCTCTTTAAATCGCTCACAAACCCTTTAAAATAACCTGAAATTTTATTTAAAATCCTTACTTTATTCCCAATTAAATAGGTAATTAAAAATCCTTTCAAGAAACTTAATTTAGGCTTATATATAAAATTTCCAGCATTATTAAAACATCTTAAATTTTTGTAATTAAGTTTTAAAACACCTATTTCAATAATTTAAATCGTCCAAAATCAAATCCCATTAACAAACATTAATTTAAAAACCTAGGGTTTTCAATTTTGGGGCATTTTAATTCTAAAACTAAATCTAAAATTTATAAATAAAATACTTATTATTAAACATCATAGAATCACCACAAAAACCAAAAACAATAGTTTAATTTAGGTAGATTAATTAAAAAAAAAACATAAATCCTTCGTTAAAACAAAAAACTGCCCAAAAACAATATTTAGAGACTGAATTTGGCCAAGATAGGGTGATGCTCATTACTATAGGTAGTGAGTTTTGTTTAGAATGTTGTTTACACACGAAAAAACACTACTTTTTTTTGTGAAAATAGGACGAGTTAGAATCTAAACGTGATTACAACATGATTAAGAAAATTAAGAATGGAGAATAGGCAACACGGAACCACCTGGGCCACCGCTTCCACGCTGCCTGGTGGCTGCTGCCGCCGGCAAAGGTTGGTGGTGGCGGCCGGCGTGTGTGGTGGTGGTGTGTGGAGGTGGTTAAACAATAAATAATTAAATTAATTAATCAAAGGGAAAGGGGAAAATTAAGGAAAAAATAAAATAAGAGGAGAGAGAGAATTTACCTTTGGGTGCACTCCACCCTAAGCATATGATACCCTCTCTCATAACTTCCTACTTACCTCCCTTAAAATCCCTTTCCTACTCAAACTAGACTTTTGACTTTTTAAATAAATTTTCTTTTATAAAATAATAAGCCCCAATATTTTTAAATCATGAAATAAAATATTTTCTAGATTATTAAATAATAAAATATACTTTTAATTAAAATCATTCTTTTCGGATTAATGAAAACCCTAAATAATTCACTTCGAATTATTTAAATATTTCAAGAAATACTTATTTAAATTTAAAATACGTATAAAAATACAGGGTATTACAGGCAGCCTGCGTAATACATGCCCAAGCTTAAATGTCAGCAACAAGCGGCATCATACGCTAGGCATAATATGGTATATCATAAAGAGCAGCCAGCCTCATGACTATAAGAGTCGGTCAAGCACCCGCAGCCAATGGGGTCAGCCGACACCTTGCTCCAGGTGTTGTGATACGTCAAACAAAGCCAACCTTTGAGCATCTGGCTATGCCCAGTCTCTGACCAAGCGGCAGACGGTTTACCACTCTAGTAGCACAGCCGGTCTTCTACTCAAGTAACTCAGCCGGCCAAGTATAGTGCCGCCTAGGGTAGATCACGGCATGAGTGTTGTTCAAAGATGTACACTTGTATAAATTTGTAAGTTATGGGACGCATGTAGTAGCCTAATCATTGAGCATAGAGTCTTTAACCGAGCATGGGTCCCCTCAATAAGCATACAAGTGACATTATTGTAAAATAACCATCATTTTTTATGATTTTGATATAATCATTATTATGATTTTTATATTGTAAAAAAATAAAAAAAAATACTTGTGTAAAGCATGGAGCCGCCGGCATTACCGTCCATGAGTGATGGGTCCTTGTGTGATCATCAAGGGGGTCAGCCGGTATTTTATAGCCGTATGTCCAGCAACCAAGTAAATACTTGTGATGGAAAGTCTCAACAAACGACATCATAGAGACAGCCGTCACTACCTCAAAAAACCGTGCTATTGCCTTTACAGCTGGCATGAGAAAAAACCAAGCAACCAACCAGCTCTAACCACGCGACCGGCTGTGTGTATATGAGTTAATAAGCGTTCAAATAATATGAGCATTTGGTGGCAGCAACCGCATGAAATAAGCTCCAAGGTGGTGATACAGCCATCCCAATCCCAGGCCCTAAACATCCGGCATTATCCTTGCCAACAGTCGAAATGTTGCTATTGTTTTCAATGGGATCAGGCGGCAATAACGGGAGTGCGACATTAATATCGTCTCAAGTTCGCGAGACGTTAGTAAGTCTTACAACAAGCCTCCATTTCCACAACACACAAGCGGCTGTGGAGTTTAAAAATCAGCCGCCGCTACCTATTGCCTCTACATCCAACCAGCTCTAATCTCACGTCCGGCATATATATTCCGGCTGTGAATGCAGTAGTCCGGCTGTTGGTGGGCAAGGTAAGCCAAGATCGGTCCAAATGGCTGGCCTCACCAAGAACTTGTGTATACTTTGAATAAATCCCACAGCACCCGGACCGCAACCAATCAAGCAAAACCGGCTGTATTACTTGTGTAATTGGCTGGCTGAATTAATGACAGGCAGGCAGCATTTAGCCCAGCATATCTAAGGGAACTTTGGATGCAAGTTGAATGGCTTGTTATTCCAAAAGCCCACAGCCGGCAATATCCCAGCCGGATCAAAGAAGTCAGCCGGCTGTGAGTGTGAGCAATGTGATGCACCTAACAAGCCAAGCATCCGGCCAGCTCTAAACATTGCACCTGGATGTATATACTTTGAATAAGCAGCGTGCAATTGGCATCATCAAGCGTGAGCATTACAGTTATGTTATTGTGATCATTAGGCATAGCCGGCAATATCCCAGCCACCGACCATCCGGCCAGGCGACAAAATGTTTAGCCGGCTGTTTGAAGGCTAGATGAGTTCGATTGCTCGGAAAGGTATCGCATGGGTTACATTAATAGTAAACCCGGATGTGAGTGTTGATGCTAAGACCGGCTGTGTATATGCGAGATGAGCCTTGAGATTTCCGAATGAGTTGCGCATATATTGCACCAATAAGCTTGCTGTGTGTATGCAAGTTAAATCACGACTCGTCGCTCCAAGAACATACAACCGGTATCCCTCCTGATTGAAATAAAACCGGTTGTGAGTGCATGCACTTCATGGAGTCTTGCCTCATGTGTGTGGGTTCCCACCACGATCATTATCATGATTAAAAAAAAAAGATGATTGATCATTATTATGATTATTTTAATCATTGATCAAATCGTTGATCAAATAATTATTTAGAAAACGGTTGGTCATTATTGTGATTATTTTAATCATTGATCAAACCATAAAAAATAAAAAAAACCGAGCAGCCAGCTAGCTTTAACCACCATTGAAGCCGGTTGTGGGTGCATCCTTGCTAAGCAGGCTGTATGTATGTGGTTTGAGCCATGAGCTGTCCGGTTGAGTGATACTCTTGCCACACCATTGAAGCCGGCTGTGGGAGCAATGATCAATGAGCAGCCGACACTTAATGGCATTATCGCAAGTCTTTGAAGCTGAGCATTT